TATTGAATCATGAAAATTTAACTTCTGAGATTATTGAATTACAACATCAAGTGTATAGTACATTTGAACAAAAGTTACAACCAATTAATGGAGATGAAATTTTAAAAGGCATTTCAGATAGTATTGCTCAGTTAAATCCTATCGATAAGATTCATACTCTGGCACTGCTGCTGGTTCTCTGTTTCTGTTTTGCCTTATTGGATTTGCATTATATTTAATCATCAAAATTTTATTTAGGGTAAAGAAGACCAGTGAACAATATGCTGCAGACTTCTTGGCTATGGCCACAATTGAGGCCAATAAATAGAAAGGGGGAGATGTTGGGGTGCAGCCCCCTATACCTAAGCATAGTAGTCTATTCTCAAGTGCTCCCTGAGGAACGTGACTCTAAGCTTCTTATTCTGAGAATAAGTTTAGATCTGCCTAAAAGCAGACAGTCACATGTTCACAGATAAGATAGCTGGTGGGTCTCACCAGGTTGCAGCTGGAGATAACACTTGCTGAGGCAGTGGGCTGCTGTATCCTGTACCTCCTGCCTCACTTACACAACAGTAGTCAGTTTTAGCTTAGAGGAAATGGGCAAACAGGAACAGACCTCCTGGTGCTTTTGTGGTAAAGTCTGAAGTAAAAATGCCTTTTTTAACTGTGCTTGTGATCAGTAGCAGTTTTGTGCTGATTTGGAGTTTTACTGGCAGTTTTAACATCTTACCTTGTTTCACTTCTTTTTGCTATTTTTAACCTTTACTAAGACAAGTTGATAAGGAGCTCAATAAACATGGGTGTCAGCTGTGTGCCTGACAGAACCTCAGCCCCCCTTTTCATTCCAATCATTTTGTCTAGCAGTGCTTTCCTCTGCGTCTCCGAACAAGGGGTTTCGTGGAACACCTTCAACCTGATATGGATTGATTTCCAGAATATACTGTTAGTGAAAAAAGCAAAGTGCAAAAGCATATCCATAGTGTGCTGCCCCTCATGTAAGAAAGAAGGGAGTGTAAGAAAATATACACGAGTCTGAAATCTACGCGTCTGCTCATTTGTGCAAGCAGAAATACAGGAAAGATAAACCAGAAACTAGTGATATTGGTCACCTGAGAACACATGATGGGAAGAGAATAGAAAGATGGGGGATACAGATAGGATAGAATCAATGGGGTAGAGAGTGACAGATTTCTAAGTATACCTTTTTGAGTAATATATAATTCAAATATTATATATACAGTCATGTGCCACAGTCATCAATGAACCACGTATATGGTGGTGATCCCTTACGATTATAATGGAACTTAAAAATTCCTATCATCTAGTGACATTGTAACCATCCTCATGTCATCATGGCACTCTACCAAGGGTGACAAAAATGAAATGCTGGCTCAAAACAAAACAAAACAAAACAAAAAAAGGAAGGAGTGGTGGAGGCCTGTCTACCTCCATGCGATGGGCTCTCTGAAGTGCGCTGTTGCATTTTAACCATGTCCCAAGCCCAAGTCATGGGAAAGAGCCCCAGTAGGGTAATTCCAGGCATTCCTGTGAGAAGATGGAGGGGTGCTGGTCCTGGCACCCTGAACTTACAGCCTCTGCCTTTGGAAAGTGCCAGCCTGGCTGTCGGCAGGGAAATCTGGCTGAGGGGGGAGGCCCTGACCCCAATAGGACAGTCTCCCACTCTTAGTGGGCTTTCTTCAGGACCCATCTATGAATGGTTCTTTCCCATGTTCATTTTAAGCGATGCTTTAGAATATCCAGAATCAAGTCTCAACAGGATTTGGCCATCAGCTTCCCAACTCACTGGAGTATTCATATGGTAGTGATTAAGTGCACAGATGCTGACATCACACGGCACAGGTTCAAACTCCTGCTCTGCCACTTACAAGCTGAGTAATTTTGGACAAATTACCTCACTCATTTTCCTCAGATGTGAATGGACACAATGAAAATGTTCCCTAGTGCTGTTGAGAGCACAGACTTAGTGAATTCAAGTAAGGTACTTAAAACATTGCCTGGCACTGGGTCAGCTGTGGCTGTTCATGCTGCCAGAGTGTCCACTGGTCCCTGGCCCTACAGGAGGAGCTATGTGCAGGGGGCACTCAGGGGACAGAGATGACATGGGCTCCCCTTCCAGCCTCTGACCTGCTTTTCCCATTCCTAGGTCTGCTGTAGCCCCTGAGTCTTTCTGAGGGGCAGTGTCTTGGGCTGCTTCCCTGACCATCCTTCCTCCCAGAAAACAGTCAGTTCTGGATTGAACATAGCCTCCCTTTAATGGAAGTTATAGGGTGCTTTGACACAGGGGATCAGCTTAGTCAAGGAGGTATAAGTGGGCAGCAGTTCAGGATGACTCTGTCCTCCTCTGCCATGGTCCCAGGGATGAACAAGCATGCTGGCTAGAGGGCTCAGAATATGTCAGGCACAATATAGTCAGTGTGAACACCATCAATCAGCCCTGCCCCATTGTTGTGGATGAACCAGCAGGACACACTGGCCCCATGCCGAGGGTCCTTGCTGTAGTCTTTTTGCAAGCCCCTGAGGAGAGACAAGTCAGCTGGGGTCACTCTTTTGAACCTGCAAGGTGGCACCTTCCCAGTAAGCCCACCCCACCCGTGTGACACATAGAGAAAGGCTCAGACCACTAAAAGTGAATGCAAAGAAGCCAAGGGCAGAAATGCTAGGGAGCAGCCCACCTACCTGGTGACTGTCAGCCGGTGGTTCTTCACCACCATTGTGGCATCTGGCTTTGTGGGGTCGGAGCCTGGGTGGAGGTCAAACACTTCAAAACTAAAGGGGTGGAAGAATTGTCCTGGAAAGGCACATTGGAGGCAGCAGTTATGTCTGGGAGCCTTGTGCTCAATAGGTGCTCACAGGGCAGGGGTAGGGTTAGAGTTGCTTGAATATTTTTTCTTCAAGTGCTTGATTATTTCTTATGAGTCCTGGCATCAAAAGGCACCTTTAGCTCACTTGCTGTAGAGAAGTAGATGTATTTCTAGCTGGTTCTACCTACCATCATTTTTAACCAATTCCAAAGGGATCTTGCTGGGGAGAGAGGTCTGAGGGGCAGGTGCCCATGGACAGCAGTGTCCATAGGAAGGCCACACAGGCAGGGCTTCTGTGGCCAAGGACCCATCCCACCACTCACAGAGCCCTGGGAGCCCTCTGGCCCTTTCTGTTTGCTAATAGGCTCTCTCCTCGTATTTGCTCCCAGGCTCACTTAAGCTTCTGTTTCACTGTGTTTGATCAAAGTCATTTCAAGGGACAAGATCCTCACCAAGACAACCCATCTTTGGACTTCTGAGCCTTGGAGGCCATGTAGGGGGTGGGCTTATCTTGGTACCCAGCTGGAAAGCTGTCCCACAGCTCCAGCCCCAGCCCCATGAGTTGACTTGCTCCAGCACCCTGCCCCACAATTCTGCACGCCTGGCCAGCATACCCAGTAGCCCATGTGTCCGGGCAGACATCCGGTGACTATCCAGCACATAGAAGCCCAGGAAGTCCTGGTGGACCGCACTATCCTTCCATACTCGGTGCAGAACAACTTCAAAGGTGGCCCTGTTGTCTACAGACACCATCAGGTTCCTCTTCTTATTGATGGTCACCACCACTCTGCAGGGCCAAGCGGTCATGAGAGCAGGTGTGGCTGGGCTGCTTCCCTCTCCATTCAGCTGTCCCTGTGCTCCAGAACCCAGCTCTATGTCCATCCCTCTACCCCCGAGGCCTTCCCCCGCAGACAGTGGACTGTTACCTGCTCTATGCTTCTTCCCTCATGTTGCTGTTGTGTATTGGACTCTTACAGTGAGTCAGGCCCTGTGCTAGGCTTTCCTATGCAAACCACGTCATTCTGTTCTCACTCTGACCTTGTGAGGATCAAGGCTCAGAGAGGTGAAGTAACTTGCCCAAGGTAGCACTGCTGGTAAGCAGTGGAGCCAAGACTCAGATTTTAGCCTAATATCAGAGTCTGTGTTCTCTGATTCCCACTTCTTACCTGTGTCTTCTACACCCAACTCTGTCCACCTCTTCCTAAAGCCCAGCCACCCAGCATTAGGTGCTGGTGCTCAGCCACTTGTTGAATGAAGGAACAAGTGAAGGAAAGAAAAGGCATGCAACAAGGCAGACTATGACAGGTGCCAAATGGGAAACCAAGAGAATTCTGCGGTTTAGCAGAGAAGAGAGTAGGAGAACTTCAGGGAAGAGGTGGCCTTTGTACTGGGCCCGGGAGGACAAACTGGCTTTGCTTGGTGGAGGTGATGATGGCATTCAGGGCAGGGTGCCATGGGAGCAGAGGCATCCAGGCAGCTGGGCCCAGAAGACAGGTCCAGGAAACAAGGGAAAAGCTCCATAGAGTCTGTTGTGTCTGCACAGGCTGTGTGGGTGTCAACCGCTGATGTGGCTCAGGGCTGAGGCTGTATAGGCACAGACAGTGAGCCCTGAGGATGCCACGCTTCCCCCTGCCTCCCTCCCCAGGCCCCAGCCAGGTACCCATCCTGCCGCAGCGCAGCCTGGTCACTCCAGGAGAACACAGGTCCTCCTGAGCGTGGGTTCAGTGTGATGTTCTGAGGAGTCACTTCCAGCTGAAAGTCCGTTACGGGGTTTGCGATGCCCAGCCGCCCGAAGTACGTGTCCTCATGCTGCCCAGGGCTCCTGGCCTTATTGCCAATGAGTTGCCCATTCACTGAGAAGCCTGCAGTGGGGTGAGGAGTCATCTGGGTCAGGGAGAGGCCCGCCAGCCTTTGCTCAGGAGGCTGTGCCTCCTTCCTGGGAGGCCTCCTATAATCTACCTATGTCACTCTGTCTTTGGGGGTCTAGCCTCCCATGTGGCCTTCAGGACTGGTCCCGAGCACAGCGCCACCACCTTTCTGACCATCCCTCCTGCCACATTAAGTGAGGGAGGTCTTGCCTCCCCTAGGACGGGACCTGGGCCTGCCCCTTATCTGTAGCCCAGGTCCCTTACACAGTGGCAGGCTCATAGCAGTGCCTCCCTGACCTGACCAGCCAAGAAGATCCTTCTCTACTCTCACTGTCCCAGCATAGCCCATCTCATGCTCTGAAACTGTCACCTGAGAATGTGTTCACTGTCTTCTCCCTTCTCTAAGCTCTAAGACAGTGAGACTGTCTCAGTCCCCACTGCATTCCCAACCCCCAACAGGTGCTCAACCAGTATTTGCAGATGGACTGACTAGACTGGGACTGAGGGAGAAAGGAGGAAGAAAAGGCTGTGTGAAGGAGAGAGTCATTCCCCATCACCAGGGTGCTGCCGGGAGAGAGGAAGGCACTTGGAGACCCTGTTCAGTCATGCTGTGGGGAAAGGTGGAGTAGGGCTGCTACATAATTTGAAGGACATAATAGGAAATAAAAATGAAGGGCCCCTGGTTAAAAATTGGTTGGGGATTTCAAGACAGCAACAAAAGAACATTAAACCCAATATGAGGCCCTTCTAACTGTAGCCAGTGAAGCTGGCCCCGGAAGATGGGGCAAGAAGGCAGCAGGTGGGGCCCAGCCAGCTGGATGGTGCACAGGCAGCAGGCAGTGGAGGCCTTGGCCACAGTCCTTCCCATGGCTGCATGTTGAAGGCAGAAGAGCCCTGGCCCTGCTCCGTCCGGCAGAGGCGTGACATCCACCGTACCTGTGTCGGGGTCCTGCACCAGGCTCAGGATCACACCAGGCTCCTCATTAATGTTGAAGCACAAGGTGTCCTCTTTCTCGGGCACATGAATGATGAAGTGAGGGTCAGTGTCCACTGGGGGCGCAGAGTGGAGTCTGTTATATTGGGCATGGGGCACATGGGGCTGGCCAGGGATAAGGGTATCAAGCAGGGGTGTCTGTAACACCCTCCCAAGGACTCACCGCCAGTCACTTGGTTTGGCAACTGCTGGATATTGGAGCTGGGGCGGGTAGGAGAAGGCTGCGAGGCGGCCAGCACGAACGCTGGTGGGTGAGAGTGAGTGGCATTTAGAAGAGAAGACTGGGCCTGCCCTGGACCTGTTGGCGTCTTTTCTGATGGCCCCTCCTTCCCAGGCAGGCTGGCCTGAGGTGATAGGAGCAGGGTGGCCACTGAGCATCACATGCCCTTGACTGGCTTTCCGGATATGGGGACAGAAGTTTGGCCCAGTGCAGCTGCCTGGCCTTCTCTGTTTCCTCCCATGGGGACCTGGGTGGGGTGGCCAGGCGGTCCAGCAGGGCCATCCTGAGGGTTCCCAGTGAAAGGCAGTGCAGACAGCCAGACCAGAGGAGGGAGGCCTTAGGCAAACTGAATGATAACCAAAGGGATTTGGTCAGGATGGAATGCACAGCCTATGGGCCAGCAGCATATGGAGTGGAGAGGGGTAGAGATGTGAGTCTCCAGGATGGCTGCCACTTACTCCGTCTGTGTCCCAGCATCTCTGTAGAAGACAAGAATATGGAGGACATTGTCACCCATGGTGCCTCAAACACAAGGCATGTGGCTTGGTCCACATATGGCTTGGGTCTAGCCCTCTTCCTGGGGTCTCAGGTCTCCCCTGGGGTCCTACCTCCTTCCAGGACACAGAGTGCCTTGGAGGCTGGTGGGGTTGGGCATTTCAGGCTGCACAGAGGCTCACGAAGCACAAAGGGAGCATCGAGGGTTTGTGGGAGAGTGGATATGGGCACATAGGGGAAGGAAGAGCCCGTGCAGAAGGAGTGGAAGCAGGGAAGATGTGGGAGCGGGAAGCCATGGCCGGGGGCCTGGAGCACCTGTACCTGCCCAGCCACCAGAAGCCTGGCCAAAAACCAACGCCATTTAAAACTCACCCAGGGGCAGAGAATCTGAAAGGGAAGGAAAGAGATAAGAATTAAAGCCCAGGAGGTTTTTGGCCCATGGCCTCCTCTCTGCAGGCCCCTCCCCTGGCCCTGCCACCCATACCCTCTGAGGGCTTATCAATGGTGGGCTTCAGGCCATCCTCGTCTGCCATGCCCCTGATAGTCATGGAAGTCAGTGGGGTCACAAACTGGTAGGCCAGTGACATCTTCAGGGCCTGGGATGACAGCTTGGCCTTCTCCTCTCCCTCCACCTTCATCCTGTGAATGAGATGGACGTTGGCCAGCTCCAAGCCTGGTGGCTTAAACAATGATAGACTTGCACTCCGTCATCCTTTCACCTGTGTGTCCACTCATTCATTCATTCAACAACCAGGTATGAAGCATGTGCAGTGCCCTATTCAGTGTCTGTGTCCTCAGGGACCTTGGGGTCCCTGACTTCCCACAGAGCAAACTTGGAGATTTGGCAGGGTTGAGGGGCATGCCTCAGAGACCCCTGGAAAATTTAATAGCTGTGAGAGCCAAGTTGGATGGTTTAACCTCACTGAGCTTCAGTTTGCTGGTCTGTCCAACGGGGATGATGAAGGAGACCCCCACACGCTGTGAGGATTAAATGTCTGGACACAGCAGCCCCACGGCAATGGCAGCTCCCCCACAGCAGCCCAGAAGCATGAGCAGCAGGTTGACCTATGTCCCCAGTGGGCCCGCATGCACTGTTGACTGACTGGTTGATATTAACTCGGCAAAACAGCAGAGGAAAGCAAATCTGACCTACTTGCAACCTCAAAGGCCCAGAACCACCTGTTCTCTGTCCCCCTTCAAGGGATGGGAGGACTCTAGGGTGGACAGTGCCCATCCTGGGCTCTGCAGGGGCCATACCGCTTGGCCAGTAGCTCCTGGATGGTGAGGTAGGCCCAAAGGCGCTCGACATGGTTCTCCAGCATGTGGCCACGCTCTTGGAGCAGCTTCTTCATCTCTTCCTCATCCACTAGGCAGGTTGTCCTGAATTCTTGTCCCTCCTGAGAGAGGAGTTAGGGAGAGGGACCATGTGCAATGATGGTGCAGTCCTTGGCTGGTGCTCAAGGGTCTGAGGGGCCCCACTATCATCTGGGGTCTGCAGCTTCCCTCTAAGCGTCACTCCATTTCCTGAGCCTGTTCTCCTCATCCTCATTCATTCATTCTTTCTACAAATGCTTGCCAAACACTCTTTGTGAGCTCGGCTTGGCATAGGTCCTGGGGATCCCATGGTACAGGAGGACTAGATCCTGCCCTCATAGAGTCAGTCTCTCCAGGGGAAAGCCAGCAACTACCTAGCCGTTTCCACCATGACCTGCTCCTCCAGAATGGCCAACGAGTTATAGGCAGCTGCACTGTTTACCTTGCCATAGCACACAAACATGCTTTCTCTCCTGAGTTACACTAGCATAGGGCACTACTTCCCAAGGTCGCACCACTTCTCAAGGGCTTCCTATGCTCCAGGCACTGTATAAGGGTATCATATAGATTATTCTATTTACTCCACACAACACTCCAGTGCAGTAACACTCCCATGGGGCAGAAAAGGAAACTGAAGCCTAGAGAACTGACCAACCACTTGCTCAAGGTTACTCAGTTGGTCAGGGCGGGGTCAGGATGCAGCTAAGCTCTCCTCACTCAAAGCCTGAGTTCTGAACCTTCAACCGTACTGTGGGGCTTGAGTCTCTCATACCTGGGACCCCTCCCATCCCTCATGTGCACATACAAGCGCCATGCCATGGCACAAAGCCTGGTACATGGTGGGTGTTCAGGAAATGGTTATTGAGTGAGAAGGAAGAGGCTGACCTCTTGTTCTCACACCTTGGGGGCAAGGATGTGAGAAATAACAGATGACTGCAACCAATCCAGGGGTACAGTGACCCTAGTCCAGCCTGTCTAGCCACCAGAATGCCTGTGTGGAGATATGTTCAGGCCTGGGGGCGGGGGTGGTGGTGGCGGTATGCATTGGTGTGGGTGGGGCACTCCTCTGGGGAAAGAGAGACCCTTGGGAGTGGGCAGTGCTGGAGAACAGTTTGTGTTTGGAGCCCCTGGGTGCTGCCCGGTCTCTCACCCTCCATGGCCCACTATTTACCCCACGGGCCTGCACATCAGCCTTGAAGTTGGCCAGTTTGTGGTCAGCAATGCGCCCAGCCACAATGATCTCTGAGCCTTCATAGTACTGCTTATGGCGGTGCTGGGTGAGGTCTAAGACAGCATCCTTGGGGTACTGTAATTCCACATCCACCAGCAGGGGTCGGGCCACCTGCTTGTAGAAACCCTGCAGGAATGGAATGTGTGGTCTCAGAACTAAGCACCCTGTGTACTCGATGGGCATCCTGCCCACAAGCCGGGTGTCAGGAAACCCTACTTTAGAGAAGGAATCTGAGACTCAGAGAGGTTAAGTAACTGACTTGAGGTTATGCAGCAGATATGAACTCTGTAGCAGAGCCTTATCTGCTCCTCCAGGCTGATGGGCAAATGGCCCCAGGGCCAGGCTCCCTGGGACATGATGCTGGCAGTGCATGGGGGCTGGGGGTGGAGACCTGCAGCTGCTGGGTGGCATCCCGGTCCTCATAGATTCTCTGGGCCCGTCCGTTGTTCTCCATGGACATGACCTCCAGGAAATTGAAGTCCACATTGTGGCCGAAGCCCAGGTTGTAGAGCGGAAACCTGCCTCGGATGGCTTCACGGATGTTCTTGAGGATTTGGGAACGGTCCGTCACCCCTGCAGCCACACACCTGGGTAGTGACAGGATGCCGGCCCACAGGCATGTGGAGCACGGAGGGGGGTACTTTGGGGAACACTCTCTGGGGGCCAAGCCTCCCATCTCAGCTTTCTCAAGTCCCCACAGTCATCTTGAGGCATCACCTCTTCTTGGCTTCCCCGGGTGACTGCAACAGCTGCTAACTGAGCTCCTTGCAGATCCTGCCCGTCCATCACAAGCAGATCTGATTCTGCTCTAGACCCTCCCCTGGCTCCTTGCTGTAGTTTGCAAGGCTCTGCTGCCCTTCCCACCCCATCCTTGTTTCACTCCATCCTGCACATGTCTGCAGTGCTGGGGCAGTCCTGCCAGGACACAGACCTTTCTTTGCTCAAGCTGCCACCTCAACCAGGGATCCCTTCCTGCCTCCACTCCTCTTTCCAGACTGAGGTCAGGAGTCACCTCCTCCAGGAGGCCTTTCCTGCCCTTGTCTGTGGTTCCACAGCCCTAAGGCACTCTGTTCTTTCAAGGCCCTCAGCAAAATGTCTGCTCTGGGGTCTCCTCCCCCAGTGGACCCCGGGCAGAGACACGTCTCTTTTCCTTGATGTCTCATCTGTAGTTCTGTGCTTGTCACACATCAATGATGAATAAATAGTTCATTAAATTCAACTTAGGAATCCTGCTCATACTCCAGGGCCCTGTGCTGCACTGTCCCCAGTTTCTCAATTCACAGAACAGAGGTACGCCTTGGAGTTCCCACAGACTTTGTGGTCTGAAGGGTGTTTTTAGAGCAGCACTTGAATTTACCCTGAGCCTTTCTGCTCCTGATGGCATCTCCAATGGTTGAGTTTCTGACTTCTGCTTGAATGTGTCCAGTAATGAGGGGACATCAGGCATCATTACTTCCCAAGGGAGCCCTCCAGGTGCTTACCCTCTGTAGGATCACCGTCTGTCAGCATGATGAGAATTGGGGCATGGTTGCTGAGTTCTGGGAGGCTTTCCTGAGCTTTATTCAAGATTTCAATTCCCCGGAGCAAACCTCCATTCAGGTTTGTGGCTGCAAAAAAAGAGAAGGCAGATCAGCGCATGCTCTCAGTCTGAGGGGACAGAAGTGACACCAAGGTGGCCCAAGACACCCCACTCATACCCTCATCCAGGGAGAAGCGCTGAACAAAGTCTCGAGCTGCTTGCAGATTGGCCTCGGATGCCTGTACCAATGAGCCCTTCCATGACCGCACATGGGTCCCAAAGAGGACCAGGTCAAAGTAGTCATCTGGCTGCATGTCCCCCAGGATTTTAAGGAGCGCCTCCCTGGTCTGCAAGGAGGATGGTCAGTAGAGGAACAGAACCCCAGAATGACCCCAGAATAGTACCTTCCACCAACCCTCAGATATCCATTTCAGAAATCTACAGTGTTGACAAGCATGATAGGAGGGAAAGGACAGCCTACAGAAATGTCCCCAATTTCTCAGAGAGAAGAGTGTCCTGCCAGGCCCAGGGGTGAATCAGGGTGATGGGGAGGCAAAGAAGCCCAGTTTGGGGAGAAGAAATGATCAGGAGCTCAGGAGGGGAAGGATTAAGAAAGAAGACCCTAGGAGGCTGTGCTTTTAAAACTTGGCTTGTCCAGCCACGGTTTCACTGCATCAAAGACGGGGCACTCAGAGCACTGTGGTCAGGAGGCTGTGTCCTGCTGCAACCTCTCCATGGACTGCCATAACTATCCCCAGCACTTGCAATGCACAAGTGTCCTCTATTAAGCACTTCCCATGGGGAAACTCTGTGACTTTTGGGCACTGCTTTTTTTTTTTTTTTTTTTTTGAGACAGAGCCTCAAGCTGTCACCCTGGGTAGAGTACTGTGGCATCACAGCTCACAGCAACCTCCAACTCCTGGGCTCAAGCGATTCTCCTGCCTCTGCCTCCCAAGTAGCTGGGACTACAGGCACCCGCCACAACGCCCAGCTACTTTTTGGTTGTAGCTGGCATTGTTGTCTGGCAGCCTGGGCTGGATTCAAACCCGCCAGCTCAGGTGTATGTGGCTGGGACCTTGGCCGCTTGAGCCACAGGCACCGAGCCGGGCTCTGTTATTATCCCCTTTAGAGACATGAGAGCACTTGCCCAAGGCTGCAGAGTGAGGATGTGGTGCTGATTGCAGAACCCTTCACTGCTGTCAAGTCAGCCTATCTCTGATAGGAAGCATAAAGCCCAAACCAGACTCTGGCAGCAAAACTGATATGGGGTGAATGGTGGGGTGGGAGGGACAGGCAGAGATAATCTGTCTCTGATCTTGTCCCTGGGTAGCTGTTTAAAGCTGAAGTTTACCTGCTTCACTTTCTGGCCTTGCATGGAGCCACTGATGTCAATCACAAAAACAATGTTCTTATTCATGTTCGTCAGGTTTTGAGGGGCAAAGAAGTGAGCAAAGTGGTTATTGGCCACCTGAAACAGGAGAATGAGTGAGGTCTCTCTCACAAGCACCCCTTGACTGCCCTCTGGGTCTTGGGCCAGAAGCTCCAGGCTCACCAGGAGGTTGCAGAGTTTGTCTCGATTGACATCGTAGGTCACTTTGAAATCCCCGTTCAGCAAGGATGTAGAGCACATGGGACAGGACTGCTGCTGGGCCACGGTGGGGCGGAAAATCACATGACCCTAGAACCATTCAAGATATGAACCATTATTGGGTTGTGCAGCTGCAAAACAACATGTTTGCAAAGATAACGCAAGAAGGTATGTGTGTGTGTGTCCACAGATGCAGAAATGAGTCTGGTGGGCCACTTGCCTAGCTGCTGAGAATGCACGTGTGGGTGGTAGGCAAGAAGACCCATCCCATTGCTTATATGCTTCTGAGTCAGTGGGGTTTTCTACAATAAACATCGTCACTTGGGGTGTATAAATAGGAACAAAATATTATCAGTATGACAGCACAAGAGACATCAGTCAGCTCAAACTTTTGAGTTGTTCGGCCAGTTGTTCAAGCCGCTAATCATAGCACTCGGGGAGGCTTAGGCAGGAGGATCCCTTGAGTTCATGAGTTCGAGACCAACCTGAGCAATAGTGAGACCCCACCTCCATCTCTAGAAAAAATTAACCAGGCATTGTGGTGGGTGCCTGTAGTCCCAGCTACTTGGGAGGCTGAGGCAGGAGGATTGCATGAGCCCAAGAGTTTGAGGTTGTTGTGAACTAGGCTGACACCATGGCACTCTAACCTGGGTATCAGAGTGATGATCTGTCTCCAAATGAAACAAAACAAAAGAACAAAAAAATTTTGAGTTAACAAGCAAGGCTTGGCTAGATGTGGTGGCTCACGTCTGCAATCCTAGCACTTTGGGAGGCTGAATTTGAGACCAGCCTGAAAAAGATCAAGACCCTGTCTCTACTAAAAATAGAAAAACTAGTCAGGCATGATGGCACTCCTGTAGTCCCAGCTTCTCAGAAGGTTGAGGCAGGAGGATCACTTGGGCCCAGGAGTTTGAGGTTGCTGTGAGCTGTGATGACATACCACCATTCTCAGCCCAGAGCAATAGAATGAGACCTGGTCTCAAACAAACAAAGAAACAAACAACGACAACAAAGAAACCTGTTGAGTTAAAAAGTAAGGCTACAACAGTGCATTGAAAGGTAAAACCAACCTATGCTGGTGCTCAGGGAATCTAGGGATAGTTTCTATCCAATACTTTGTATATTTCTGTACTGTCCACATTTTTTTTTTTTTTTGAGACAGAGTCTCACTTTATTGCCCCTGGTAGAGTGCTATGATGTCACAGCTCACAGCAACCTCAAACTCTTGGGCTCAAGCAATTCTCTTGCTCAGCATCCCAAGTAGCTGGGACTACAGGTGCCTGCCACAACGCCTGGCTATTTTTAGAGATAGGGTCTCACTCTTGCTTGGACTGATCTGGAACCAGCAAGCTCAGGCAATCCACCCACCTTGGCCTCCCACAGTGCTAGGATTATAGGAGTGAGCCTATCATGCCCAGGCTTACATTTTCTTTTCTTTTTTATTTAATTTTTTTTCTTTCTTTTTTT